AAAAAAATAGTAACCTGTAATGTTTTTGTGTATTGTATCTTTGTTTTGTTAAGCATATTTCAATAAAAAAAAAAAAAAAAATAAAAAAAAAAAAAAAAAAAAAAAAAAATACATATACATAATTATTTGCATACCAAATTTTTCCTAGAACAGGGTCGATATTTTGTTTGTTTTATTGAGTATTCCCGGAATTGTGTATAATCGGAAGTACGTTACAGGCCCCGTTTCCACTGTGCATGGCTGTGTGACAGTTTTGTAAACCACCCCATCTATATGTTGTCTCGTATTTTATGCCCCGGGTCTCAAATGTGCATAAAAAGTAATTTATATAAAATAATTGCAACCAATATTTGCGGATGCATACAAGTCACAATGAGTCCGTCACTCGGGGGAGTTGACAGAAATTAAACAACCAGTTTATATATATTCTATTATTATACACCTGTCACCGTAACGCCATAAGTTACAGCGTGCCGTAATTTTGCGGTATTTTACGGGGTATGTTCATCCTACCATATTAGGAAATGCGAACTCCAAATATGGAATGATTACGCGCGTAAGCGTTCTCTAATAATAAAAAGGGTTTGACCGTTCTCCATACACAGAAGTTCGCTGATTCTGTTCTAAACATTTTGGATTTCGGCATTCTCATGATGCAACCTTGGAAGGAAAAGATGTATAATAATAAGGTTATTACGAGGATACCTCAAAATATGCATTCGGACAGTACGCCGTCGCATCGACCTCCGTTGCGCGTCACTGTACTGTCTGCGTGCGTACTTTGAGGTATCTTCGTAATAACCTCATATTATTAGCAGTGGGGTCATATTTGATCCTTTTATTGTCGCAATAATCTTTACAACCAAATATCAAAGTAAGGTGAGTACATTTATTTTTACACAGTGCTATCGTGATTGGCAGGTCTGGTAAAATTAAAATTGTGTCCATTGCAATGAATTAGTGAATAATCAAAAACGACGGGAAATATTCGCCTGGTTACAAAATAAATGTAGTAGTATATATTGTTTACAAGAAGCCCACTCAATTATTAATAATGAGCATATGTGGAAAAATGACTGGGATGGCGATATCATTTTTAATCATGGTACCAGCAATCAGCGTGGTGTAGCCAAAGTGTTGTTCATATGTAGTTCACAGCAGTAGAAATGATTCAAATGATAGGTGGATTATAGTAGGCCTACGTTTTATTTTAGTTAAAGCGCGGTGGTCGTCGCGCAGCGTGTGTTCGAATTTCATGTGAATAAACAATGTATTTTACACGCGTTGTATACGTCGCTACGAGTCCCATGTCGAACAGGACCGGCACGACGACTACCGCCCTTTAATGTGTACGCTCCGAACGGTGATACGGTCGTTTTATTGATAATCTGAAAGTGATTATTCTCAAGCTATTATTAGCGTGTGATATCGACATCTGTTGCTTACGTAATTAGCTGACTCGACGTTACATCTGGAGAAGAGGTAGGCCATCAAGTAGAATAGATTACATATTGATTCTTTTTTTCATTTGTGTCGAGGGTTACCACGGCAACTATTGGTGAAAGTTACTGTGATCACTGTTTAATTAAGATTGGAATTAAAACGAATGCCCATCCACACAGCAAGGAATATTGGCATTTGAATCTCATCTGAATGAGTGTGGGCTTGTTAACAATTTTTTACAGTATTTTTCGAGACAAATGAAGGATCAGCTAATCCACATTCAAATGTTCTTTCAGAAGATTCTGTAGAAAATTTAGTTGTATGCGACATAAAAAGTACCTGTATTAATAAACATACTTATCAAAGACATAAATAAATTTCGTGGCATTGTTGCAACAGGACATATTAAATGAGCAGATAGATCTTTACATTAATCGTTATTATAGTTTTGAAGGGAGGTTCCACTAATAATGTTCGTTATATGTATGATTCACAATTAGACAGTTTGCAAAACCGTACATATGAAGGTCTTATCCAAGAATAAGAGTTGACCGAGCCTATAGTTCATTTTCAACTGCCAAATCTTCTTGTTTAGATGGCATACCCGTTGAAATATACAAATTATTGTTTCCACATTTAGGTCACCATGTGCTTAATTACAATTATTCATTCAAAAGGTGACAAATGACAGCAATTCGACGGGAAGGTCTTTTGACATTATTTCTTAAAGGGCGGTGGTCGTCCCGCAGCGCGTGTTCGAATTTCATGTAAATAAACAATGTAATTCACACGCGTTGTATACGTCGCTATGAGTTCCATATCGAACAGAGTGCGGCACGACGACTGCGCTGCCGCCATTTAAACAACAAGATGGGTACGGAAAAGACACTGATGCAATGCTTATCAATTGCTTATAATAGGTATGTCCTACTTATATTGGTATTACATATTTAAGTTACAACACATAATACCAAATATTGCAGGTTTTGAATCCTGTGTAAAACAAAACAGCTTTTGCATTTCACGATTGCAGAGTAAAAACACCTTTAGTTCTCAATTTCGCAATCATTGTATTATTTGCGGCACTTGGGGTAAAAAGAAGAATACGAGTTCCGGAGCGGGAATAAAGCTCTAGCTGTGAGAATGATGGATTCAGACAAGTGGTGGTACATTGAGGTCGAAATTGCCAAAATTACCGGCTGGTTCATATTGGCAAACCACGTAGAACTTTGGTCCATACGCCCTCTGTGCTGTTGCTATGCCACACCCCAGTTGGTCGCTAGACTTCCATACAAGTTGTGTGAAATGTTCTGAAAAATAAAAATTGAGATATGAATTTCGATTGGCATTTGAACAGAGCGACGACCTAGGTTCATACTAGCAAATAAAACTTGTAACCCTATAATTTATTATCGCTATTTTCGTTGAAAGGATGTTTCAGTGAAAATAAAATCCAGTGAATATACCTTTTTTCCTATGTTTTACATTCAACTCATCAACAATCAGACTGAGTGAAAATAAACTCCATAAAAACACCTAAAGTTTTTTCATCGAAAATTTGTTCCAGCTAAAAGAATTTCTATCGCTTGGAGGTTAGTCGCGTTTCGAAGCTCAGACAAATAATTTGTTTCGTTAGACACTGACTTATCAGAAAAGCGTATATACAATGATACAACTTATTGTTTAGAGTCATTGTCTGAATTGCCTGGATGACAGACAAATCTAGAAACAGCCTGAGAGCTGCTACAATATTTCCATCTTATTTTAGTATTAACCATTTCCTGCTTGTATTTTACTTTACTTTCATGATTTAATTTTGAACGAAATTGACATATTTTTAGCGGAGATTAGCTATATACAGGTCTTGGTAAACATTTGTGATTTGTTAAACTTATTGTATCTAATTATAAAATTTGTTGTTCTCAACCAGCTTCTTAGGTTTCTAATGATGATATGTTAAATTGTATAGGCTACATAGCAACTGAAGAACGATAAAAACATGATTGACGTCACCAGTTTAATTTAAAGCATTTTGACTCACCATTGGAACTGTTGAGAGTACCTGAAGCAAAATCATAGTTTACAATCTCTGAATACCAATCGGATACTGGCGTGGATCCTGCAAATACAGACACATTGTTTACTTTCATTAGTTTCCGTATTACGGTTGCCACTGGGGGCGTCATGCAAATTTTAAGACAACATTACAGCCTTTCCGACAAAAACAAATCAACTACAAAAATTAAGGTTTATGTTAAGCTAGAAATTGGGATAATAGATTTAGCTGGTATTGACTTTCTTTCGAAAAAGAATGATCTGTATGTTGTTTGTGTTTAAACAATTTCTGTATTCTAGGAGTATATATAGTTAATAACCACAGGGACGGAACTGTGTCATCATGATTGCGTCGCAAACTTCAGTCACGTTCTTCAATCTGTGGAACAAAGTCGTCAAACGCCCTCTCTCGGCGGTGTCCCACTTTTACGGCACCATCATAGTACACACCATCATTCACCTACCTGTGAATTGATCATATGATTGCCATCTAAATACGTCATATCCGGTCCATATATTTTCTCCGCGATTAGGTGGGTTAGATCCTCTGTTTGTACTGTGCTCGGATGAGTCAGTAGCCGCCAATTCCTCAGCCCATTCTTGGGCATAGTCATTAAGTTGTGAAGACAGTTGCAGCTGAGGTGACCCGTGCTTGCAGCGATAGAAGTTATGGGGATCGAGCATCTGCTGTCTGATGTCATCCAATCCAATATTGCATTCGGCATTCCCGGTGGGGTTAGAGCACTGTCCTTCAACGAGGGATCCTGATGAACATCCGGATGATCGGCCCCCGGCTCCACCTGAATTAAATGAGAAGTAATAGTACACTTTACTATTGTGCACTTTGAAATGAGGCAACAGCAATCATTTTCAAAATTGAAAGAACATGATCATTAGTTGATTGATTGATTGATTGATTGATTGATTGATTCGATAAAAATATCCCATAACTGTGATATGGACAGCAATGA